TTTTCGTGGCAGGTGTGGGACGGTCAATTATCACACCGTTTTAAATTTACAATAATAAAAGGCTTTCCGGGGTGACAAGTGACCGCCCACACCTTCCCTTGTCTCATGGTGTGGGATTCTAGGGGGATAGGGTTGTCATGAGTTTCAACGTCAAGAAGCGCAACTTTCGTTTGGCCAGTGTATATATATATATATACATGGGCGATGTGGATTTCCCAATTTCGACAGCAATTTCACTCCAATGTTGATTTCCCCAAAGCCACACATCAAAAGGGGGGCAACTCTCCACCACTCCTGTCTGGCGATGTCTCAGACGTGTGGCGGAAATTTCCAGAAACACCCCCTTCTCATACACTCCGCCTCGCACACCATCGCTCCATCCGCATCGGCGAGGCACAAGTTTCTCAGCAAATCGGCCCCGGATTTCATCAATCTCACCTTGGAGTGCTGCCTTGGGCTGAGTGTGTCTGCGTGGAGAGCGAGAGCGCCAGCTTCGGAGCCGAGCCAACCTGACCTGGTGGCCGGAGCGCCCGTTTTACACGGAGGCATGAGCCTGATGCTCGAAGTGGACGATTCAGAAGAGAAGCTCAAGGCTCGGGAAAGCAGGGAATCCAATAAGCAGATGGTTATGATGGAGCCCCATGGCTGTGGTTCTACTCCAAATCGGAGAAATGCACAGCTGCTCAACTGCAAAGTCATCAAAAGCCGTGTCTTTTGGGCTCAACGCGATGGGCGCGGCACATTATGACAGAGGCGAATCGGACTTTTGAATTTTGCTAGGCAGCAGCCCATGAACTGAGGTTGCTTGATGTGACTTGAGTATGTTTTTGTAAGACAACCTGCAAACGAATGCCTTGAGCACATGCAGACACAGACAAACAAGCAAACAGACTTCAAGTCAAAATTCCGCCTTTTTCCTTGGGATTAGCCTGTTTTTCTTTTCACTAGTCAGAGGTTCTCAGTTTAGCCCTTCTCACCCTTCCCATCAGTCCTTAGATTTGGAAGACATGTGGTGACCGCAGTTCTCTGTGCAGCCATGTTTGCGCCCGGTCCCTCAGAATCGAACGCACGCCCCGACGTTCACGCGCGTTCACGCGGGCGAACCTTTGGTCGGCCCGTGCGTTTTCCTGTTTTTCCTGCTTAGGGCCGCTGTGCGGCAACCTGATGCAGAGGCAAGGTGGGTATAGCTCAAGATCGGGTAGCCTCAAGTAGAAAACATATGACCTGCAGACCTGCAGGTCCCCAGCCTTATCTTTTGAGCCCCATCCCTTTTCTAGGTCAAGCCCCCTGTGTCGGTCACTTTCAGGGTCGCTCAAGTAGTAGCCGTGTCGGTCTCAGCCCCCTTAGCTCCTGCTTCTTCAGAGGGTTTGCAGGAGACCAGGTAGCTGCCAACCCGACGTGGCTTTTGCGCACCAGCGACGGACCGGCAGGTGGAAGACGTGCCTTTGGATGATGATAGCACCAGCGAGGGAGGCTCCTGCATGGTAAAGCAATGTATTCAACGAGCGGAAGGCGAACCGTTTGCTGAGCTGCTTTTGCCAGGCAACTCGCCCCCATGCAGGGGAGACCCAATGCAGTCCCCAGAAGAGAGCCGATGCCCTAGTTGCAGGTCTTTAATTTCAAAAATGCATCGTTTCCACATGCAGATGTGCCAATTGTGTGTGTGTGTGTGTTTGAATTTGTGTGTGTTGGGCAAGCGGTGCTGACCTGCACAAGACATTCCTGGGGACAAAAGGTTTGTAAGTGGTTCTTTTGAACACCACTGGTGCTAAGAAGCACCCGGGTAGTTCTTATCTTGTCAAGATTCAAGATCCAGCCTTCTTGGCCGATTCTGAGGCGAAGCTCCAGCACGCGTGTGGGCATCCAAAGGCATCACGGGTCTCCTGGAGACCGTAGGCGCGAGCCCGCTCGTGCGCATCGTGCGGCGCTCGGCGGTCGCCGGAGACGTCGTCCTGCGCTGCCTGGAGACGTCGTCCGTCGGTCGGTCGGTCCAGGGGGACGTCGAGTGGAAGAGGAGGTCCTGGAGAACAGCGTCTTGCTGAACGTGTGCGCGGAATGTTCGGCTCTTTTGGGGGGTCGATCTCGGACGGACGACGGACGACTTCGGTTGCTGTAAACATAGAGTGTGATATGTGTGATGGGATGCTGAGATACTAATTACTCATGACAAGTGATGATGGACAATGGGTTGGGAAGTTTGCATTAGACAGATTTTCTTTTTTGTACTGATCCGTTAGGTACGATGTCAGCGATAGTAGAAAGCTTAGAGCTGTTTGGAGAACTTGGAGCACATTGCTCAAAGATTCCAGGCAATCAAACGAGACTCTAATTTTGTTTGGATCTTGTATTTGAACCAAGCAAACAAGGCTGCCGCAGTTGAAAAAAGCCCAAGAAGGCGTGCAACAAACAAGGCTATACAATGGGCAGACCAGCACCGACACCCCCAAGCTCCAAAAAGGCCAGCAACTCCCGGCAAAGACCTATAAAGCAATGCTTGGACTTTCAAGCCATTCAGCAGACCTGGCGCGCCCGGTCAGCGCAGACACGGATGAATCAAAGGTGATAAAATTGGGGCTGAGGTGATGTCATCCAGAGGGTGAATCGTATCTTCACAGCTGATGACACCGTCCTGGCTGGAGGACGGATTGGTGTTGTTCGTTTTAATTTCTTTTTCAGAAAAGCTGTGATGAAGAACGCATCAGCCGTGATCGGATGATTGATCTGATTGATCGACGGATGGGTGCTGCTCTTCGCACCGAGGAGTCTTCCATGCAGGCGTTGAGGTGAGAATGCTTCGTGTCACCTCCTCGTCACATCGCAAGAGCTCGCGCGTGATCGCGCATTGCGCGTTCGCGGTGCGGTGCGCAGCTCGCAGGTCTATGGGAAGGAATGGTGCTATGGAGCCACCGTGCCAGGTGCCTCAGGGAGGCCTCAGGGAGGCCTCAAAGTCCAGCATCGGGTCGAAGCCACCGTCCGTTTTGGCTGAGGCCGGGTCGCAGTGGAGTGGGCGCTGCCAGAGGCTTAGATGGACATGAAGAACGGAAAAAGGTGGGAAGGAGCGGATTTGAAGATGGTGTCAAGGTAAAGCCACGCTTACATCCACAGCACCGGCCGGGCAGCCTTTCTAGAAGCATATGAAATCGGTTGATCAACTTGAATCAGAAAACATGCAAAGTGGATGCAGGTATCGTGCTACTGTGCATATGGGTGCACCTGGCGAGATGTTTAAGACATGTGGCCAGACTGTGCCGTGGCCCCTGTGCAATCTTAAGCGACTGGAGAACCTGACTTCTGTGTGAGGATATCTCCTTGCCAGGAAATACTGAGAAGTCACCGGACGAAATCAGCCGAATCTTGGTATGTCGCTTTGCTGATCTGTGGACTGAACAGTTGGTTCACGTGATTCTATGAAAGGAAAGAAAAGACAATGCGCAGGCGGAGAAGCCTCAAAGTTCGGTTTTTTTTGACCGGTAAATCGGTGAATCACAGAGGTTCTACAGTCCATGTTCTCCACTGCTTTCACCCGAGGCATGGCGTCTGAATGGCCTGGAGCCTCTCAAACCACATGAGCATAGACGGAGCCCAGACGGGTGACCCGGTGTTCGGCCCCCTGAGGCCTGGAAGCGCTTATGATCTCATCCATCACAACTGCCTCACGTTTTGCAACGTGCGGAACTGAGGTTTTGACAGAGGTGTTTTGCGGGCGTTTGAGGGCCATGAAATACCTTTGGTCACGAAATCCAGTCACCGGTCATTTCCAAACAGTGTCCATTTTTGATTCAGTCACTAGTCGCTAGTCAATAACATCAGTCATTCGTCAGTCACTGCTGTTCCGGCCACAGATGTTTGAGAGGAACCCTCAACAGGCTTGTTGGTTCAAACCGGCTGAGGTTCTTCTGGGCGAGTTAGGCTTGCGCCGCATTCCAGGGTGGGTGGGGCCCTTGGAATGAGGTACAACCAATTCGAGACCGTTCAAGTGTCTGGTGCAGCCAGGTAGATCGAGCTGCACGAGCAGCCAGCCAAGTGGATAAAGCGGTCAAAGCAGTGAGGACGGGTGCCCAGCTGTTTTGTAACTTTGGTTGCTGGTTGCTTCGCTCTGAAATCGCTTGACCGTCTCAGCCACAAAAAGGATTTTGGTACCAGTGAAAGTTTCACTTTCAACACCCCTTTGGTCTTGAAGGATATGGGAATTTATGACTCCGAGTGCAGCACACCCGTCCTTCAGGAGCATTAGTGCTGATGAGGCGCGCGGTCGCCAGCAACGCCCCACACGGATGTGGTCACAATTGCGGATGGGGTCAACCCGCGGACCACCGGTCGGTACCGCTGGTCAATTAAGCCCGATACATAGCGCCACAGCCACTTTTCAGACATCCGGTCGGTACCCTGGTAGGTTGACTGAGAACCGGTCAACCGCTAGGTGACCCACAGTGAGACCCACAGCCAAAGCTTTGGGTTTTCGTCGAGCATTCTGAGAGACCGTCTTCACATCCTATCACATCCCACCGCGTGCGGCTGTTTCCCAATGCGTTCCCCGATGGTGCAGGTGCAATTGCAGGCAGAAGAAACCTTGCAAACGCTGAGGCCTGGCATGTCGGCATCACAACATACAGGTCGGTTCTCTGCCCAAGGACAAAACAACAACCCACAGGGTAAGCTTTGGATCACCGTTTTCCGTTCTATTTGCTGGAGAATATGTGCACAGATTATACATGACACATTGGACCAGCTCACTGACTGAGCCTCCCAAAGCGTGAGCGAACATCAGCAGCGAAACCTGCCGATGTGGCGCCACCGCGCCGGTGCCGCGTCGCGCCGCCGCGTTCCGCCGCGGTTCCGCCGAGGCGCGATTCCCTTGCCGCCCTTGAGGCGGCCAAAGGTGGGACGCAGAAGTTCCTGGAGCGCGTGCAGGAGAGAAGCTTTGGACAGAGAGTTCGGGGTCCGAAGAGAAGTTCTTTCAGCCGGCATGTTTGTTTCATGCTTTAGTCACATTGAGTAGAATGGTCGTTTTGAGGCAGTATGGGAAGTTTCACGCACATTCACACACACACACACATATATATATATATATATATAGAAAATATATATATATATATAGATAATTATTTAGATCACTATATAGCACACCAGCTACTGTAAGCCTTTTGATACTGGAAACAGATCCTGCGCAGGAGCAAGCGCAGCAGCCTTTGTCCGAGGCTTCCGAGCTGGCCGGTCGCGCCCGGGGGCCCGAGCTCGCCACGCTGGCCTGGCCGGGGCCCGGGCCAGGGCGGCCAGAAGGGTCACCGGGCAAGCAGAGAAAAAGGGGTGGTGACATGGATCTAGATAGGGTAGAAGTATGGAGGTATGTAGAAGTTCGTATCAGAATGTATGTGGCTTCTCTTGAATGTATCGCGTCGCAGTCCTGAGGCACAGGAACAACTGCAATCAGTGGGTGCTAGCATTTGGCAGTGCCAGCCTTATTGTTGCTGTTCAGTGCCACGATCAGGTCCAACCACCCTGCTCAGTTGATAGATGGTTCAAGAATTCTAACCTACCCAGATAAGAATTCTCAACCGGGTCTTGGCTGTACCCCAAGTGCTTTATTTATTTAAAAGAAAGGATCGTTTTTTTTTGTCATCGCTCCGCAACAGTCCACTGCTTGTGGGGGGCGGCAGATGGCCAAAGAAACAGGTACTTCTCAGGGAGCAAAAGATGTGCAACCAAAGTCAACTTCTTCAGGTCCTTCTCCCCATTCACCAACATGTTTGGCCTTTTTTTTTTTTTTCAGGATTCTGTCTGTCTTGCTGTGGTTTAGTTGCGCAGAATTCCGAAGGAGCTTCTGAGGTGGGGCCAGAGCTTCCAGGAGTCTGTCGGCATGTCCGAGGCGGGCGCACGCACACACCTTCGCTGCACTGAGCCATTCCGGTGGACGTCACGGAGCGCAGGGAGACGTGTATTTTAATAGGGAGACACCCTGGCTGGCTGGGTAGACTTGACTGATCTACTTCCTTTCTTTTTTGCAGGGTCGGACTGGAAGGTCTCCCTATTTTCATACACACACCATATGTGAATGGATGCCTGGTTGGCTGGACATTCTTCCAGTCGTCCGAATTTCAGGCAGCGGTGCCAAACCTGTCCGACATTGGCAAGAAGGCTGAGGTGCGATGATCAGTTTGGTTTTACTTACGCTCGAGTTATCTGTGGGCATCATCACCCCCTATTTAACCCCTGGTTTGTTTCATGAACATGTCGCGTTTGGTGTGGTAAACGTTTGCTCCGACTCCGTGTTCTTCGTCCGCCAGGATAATTGGCAGTCCTTCTCTGACAGCCTCCGCAGTTGGGGTGAGAACGTCACCAAGGACCTCAAGCAGACGCTGGAAGGGCCCAATTCTTAAGGTAAACAGCTTGACACACACACACACACACACATAGACCAAAGCTGCTTCATGTTGGGAATCACATTGCAGAGCATCACATTGGGTGTGAGGGAGCAGCAGGGTGTGTCCGAGGTCGAAGCCCGGAAAGGCGGGTGCCGGTGCCGGTGTGTGGCACTGAGACGCCCTTTGTGCCGCGGCGCTGGGCCACGTCTCACCGTTCACGGTGCCAAGGGCTACCGGACGGAGACGGACCGCTGTGGCCTCGGTGCGGAGACTGCCCGGTCCGAAGACGCTGCGGTTTGGACTGAGGAGATGAGCGTGGGACTGCTGGGCTCATCAAGGCGGGGGACGCGCTGCGGGGGATGCGGTAGGGGGACGGTAGCGGTAGAGCTTGGAGTGCAGAAGTGGAGGGTGTTTCTTGGAGGCACAGGAGGCCAGCTTGCTGAAGCAGGGCCTTCTGGAGGACTGAAGGGCGAAAGAGAGCCCAAGAGATAGCCCAAGAGAGTAGAGCCTCTTTTCAAAGGTTCTTGTTTTTTCTCCTGGATGGATATTCATAATTTGCCGTTGTTCATTTGTTCAGTTCTATTCACTGATAGGTGTCGTTCATTTTGAACCCTTCTGTCTTCATGGTAGAGCTGGGATCAGCTGTTCATTCTGCAGGATGAGGACGAGGGGGACTCGGAGCACCAGGAGAGCCCGCTTGTTTCTTGGTTCACGACATGTTTTTGGAACCGTTGGTGATTCGAAGCAGCAGACCTTTGCATCCGACCATGCAGGAGGGGCTGGTGATAGCTTGTGCTAGTGTTCGTTGCTTTGCCTCTATTGGATGCTTTCATCCTGTGTGCAGGCGCCGACATCTTTTCCTACGGGTGCTCAGCAGTGCAAAGTCTCAGATTGGCCGTAGGTTCACTCGAAAGAGCTGCAGGTCTCGGTCTCACCGGTTTCGTTCAGAGTTCTTTTTACCTTTCCTCTTTTACAAGCAGCTCTGCTTGTGGCCACAGTATCCGGTGCAAGAGGATCCATCCGGTAGCAGTAGTCCTTCCATGTCTCGGTTTTGGGGTTTTGAGGCGTGACCTTCTAGATGACTGGGACGCGGCCGGGCTTCAATCCGCGGTCTGAAGATGGATGCGGTCTGAGCTTCAATCTGACCCTCAGACGACTCTTCTTTCCTTCGCTTTTTTTCGAGACAAACCCACACAAAGTGCATTCCGGAGCTCATGTTGGCTTGTCGGTTCCGTCGCTTGCGGAAGCTTCTCCTGGCCAGGCACCTGCGGCGAAATCCAGTCCACCCGAGGTGCAGACCATCTAAGAACACAAAACCTGCGTCGTGGCCCGCGCGATGCGACGGCAAAACCGAGAAAACCGAGAAAACCAGAAAACCGAGAAAACCGTTCTCGCGTTTTGCCGTGTGGAAGTTTTTTCCAGTTTTCTTAGGTCTTCTTGCTTGTCTTGTCTTTGAGCGTGAACACGAGAAAAGCAAGAAAACAGGTTTCGCCGTTTTCCCGTTTTCGCCGTTTTCCCGTTTTCGCCGTTTTCGCCGCTTTCGTCGTTTTCGTCGTTTTCGCCGTTTTCGTCGTTTTCGCGGTTTTCCCGTTTTCGGCGTTTTCGCCGTTTTCGCCACTTTTGTCGTTTTTGCCGTTTTCGCGTTTTCGCAGACCATCGACCCCCCTCATTTTGAATCGATTTCGGCGTTCAAAAACAACGATCCTTTTCCGCGCACGGAAAGGCCGGCGCGTTTGGGCTGCAGATGTGTTTTTGCTTTGCGGTTCATGTGAGCACACTTGAGGGCACAGATATGAGAGGACACACATGAGAGCACACATGTTAGAGCACGCGTATGAGAGCAAGCACACGACAGCACACAGATTAATGAGAGAAAACCGAGAGCACACATCTGAGAGCACACATATGAGAGCACACGCACACAAATATTATGAGAGCCACGCCACACACACACACGAGTCCGTATTACAAAACCTGCACCAAGTACTGCGGTTGTCACGCAATGTGCACATGAGAGGCTCACCAAGTCTCCACAAGAACCCCAAGTGTGCCCACACTTCAGAACCAATGCCCAGCTTTCGTCCATTTCGCTGCGTTGGGCGAAAGAGCAGTCGAGTCGTTGCGCCCCGCCCACCGTCGATCGGTCCTTCGGAGGCGAAGGTGGACCTCCTGGCCTGAGCGCCGCGCCGTTCCGTCGTTTCACCGCACGGGTTGCGAGCCAAGCCGTTCCGTCGTCGGCGTGCGCCCGGAAGGGGGCGGAAGGATTCTGTTCTTTTTTTTGGTTGAGGTTTCCCAAGTTTCTTGGTAACTTTTCATATCTTTGCTCTAGTCTGCATATTGGTTGCACGCCATTGGCCGCAACACGGAGTAGCAACATAGACTGGCTGCTCGAGAGCGTTGGGTGAGAATTGCATCTAGTTTGCTGTTTTACTTGCGTTGATGATCTTCACGGAATCATGTACCTTTGGTAGTAGGTTGACCCTCTCTTTTCTTGTGGTGGTGTGTCACAACCTGCAACTTGCTTGACAGGAATGGATTGAGCGCATGGATGACGAAGAGGGTGAAGAGGATGAGGAAGAGCTCCCCTTGCCAGCAAAAGCACAAAAAGAAGTTTCGATTCGGAGGTCAATGGCACAACTTACCGCACAGGATGAGCTCTTCCACACTGGTGAAGAGTGCATTGACCGTGTGGCCGAGGCCGAATGGTACTTCTTCGAAAATCGTCGACATCTGTGGGTTGCTGGGTGGATGTTGAATGACCAATTAGGGCTTGATATGGTTGTGATGCCGATCCGCGAGCTGTTCCATTCTGTTTGGCGCGTAGAGGTCTGGGATGTTCAGAAGGTGATTGGCGCGTTCTTCGTTCAGCGCGCGTTCTGTTCAGCTCCTTTCCCGCGCCGCAGCCGATCCAGGCCGCTGGCATGGATGTGATTGGGCAGGGCCTGTTCCGTCTGATTGGTCACTTCTCTTCCCAGGACCCGGGGGGTTGGACGTAGAAAGGAAGACTGGGGGCTCTTGTTACTAGTAGCGATGCCCTTTCTTCCTAGTAGCTTCTTGCCACTAGTAGTATGGCTAGGAGCGCCCCGTTCGTAGCGTCCTTTGCTCCGTTCGAGTCGCGATGCCTTTGGGTCTTCGAAGATCTGAATTCATCCTGGCTTGAGTCACTTCCGCAGAAACACCACCGCAGAAACCAATTGAAGGCAGCACACAATTGCAAGCAAGTGAATACCCTGATAGGAAGGGTAAAACATCCTGGCCCATACTTTTAAAACCATTGGACACTCTTCCGGAAAGCTCTCGCTGACTCGTCTTGAGTGCACGGTCTTAATGAACCGCAAAACAACCGCGGCAGTATTTTTTCACACCAAAGAGAAACATCCGCAGATGAAAAAACGTCCCATTCCGTCTATGGCGCTGAGCGCCGTTCTGTGCGTTGAGCTCCTACGGCAGGAGTCGTGGCAAGCCAAGCATGCCGCGCTCGCGGCGGTGAAGCAGACCGTCGAATACGTGGAGGAGCAGCGAAAAGAAACACGTGTCACGGGACATGTCATTTTCGCAGCTCCCTGGGTGGGTAGGGACATTTTGAAGGGCAGATTCGATTTCGTGAGTGTTTGAATCATGATTGAATCCTTCAACATCCCTCCCTCCCATAAAACACCTTGTTCAGGTCGTTGCAGCTCTCCTTCAGTGCACATGTTGCATGTCAGGAGCAAGCTCACGTGGATGAGATGGCCAGGCTGCTGCTCAATCATGTCGACCATCCCCATCCCAGGTGCATTTCGCGGGTTTCGGGTGAAAGAGATTGAAAGAGTCGTTGGTCACCTTTTGAAAGCAGATTTTTGCGAAGCCACTGGCTTCTTGACCACCTCTTGCCTGGTTGGTGTTTTGATGGCGAAACCGCCAGGGTGAGATTCACTGCGCTGCATGGCCTTGGCTCGTGTCCCAGCGTTTGGTGTTCTCCATTCGCAGCGATTGGCTGCGCAGATTGGCGATTCGCAGCATTCCCCATACCCCACATGCGGCCAGCGCTGCAGGACAGTTGGCCAATGACCAGTCTCCCCATTTTCAGGAGGGGTGTGGCCTTCGATGTGTTGACGCTTGTCGCCTTTGCAGCAGACTTTGAGCTTTTCAATACATTTCCTGCCACTGATTGATCTTCATAGGATGTGTCAGGAGACCTCCCACCAGCAAGTCATGCCCGTGCTCACACGCAAGATGGACGACCAGGTGCAGAAATGGACATTTGACGACTTTTGTCCTTTTATTGGAGAAAAGGGGGTGAGAAAACCTTTTTCTTGACACCTTGACTGATTTTGAGATCTGAGTGGAGATCTCTGGATGCATTTCCTTTTTCCTCCAAACAGTCCTGTTGGGGTTCTCCACAGTTTGGCCGCACCCCTGAACCCTGTGTCCGGGTGTTGTCCTCCTGCTGTCCTCTTCTTGTCCTCCAGTTGTCCTGCCGTTGTCCTCCTGCTCCTTCCTCTGCCCGTGCTCGCAAACCCTGCGTCCTCCTCTTGTCCTCTTGGTGTCCTGTGCGAACCCGTTGCTCTTCTTTGGTCTGGCCGCGCTGGCTCTGCGCTGGACGACCAACATCGGAATTGGAGTTGACCCAAGAAACATGCCTTCATCTCTTTGGGGTCGCTGGTAGACACCTCTCCGACGGACCGCACCCACCGACGGTGCGCGCGCTGCGGATCGCGGATCGCGCAGATGGACCGCGTGGCTGCGATGGCCATGTCTGCCTTTGTGTCCTTCGGGGAGGACCAGCCGGGTTCGGTTCCGACGAGGCGAGGGGTGTTCGAACACCACCCCAGGTGGCACCGAAGTTTCGGGAGGCACGCGAGTCTAGTTCGGATCTCCGCACCGGGTCGGGGTCAAGTTTTGGGGGAGGGAAACGGCTGAAAACAGGCACGCGTGGCAAGGTGGGAGTGTGGGTGACACATTCTTCTGAAGGGTTGGCAACAAGATCTATCCAGATCGCACCGTGGGCATGCGCATTTAGAAGAATGGACAGATAGACTTTTCCTGGGGAGTCCGCCTATGGCTTGAGTATTCCGGTGCTTGAGTATTCAATGCCTCATCTCGTGTCGAGCACCGCGTGCCGCAGGAGTTGGACAATTCCCTGATGGCTGGGTGCCGGACGGGACGAGACGAGACGTCCGGCTTGGAGAAGACGGAGGGTGGAGGTGGAAGGAGGGGTCAAGGAGCCTACATATTTGGACATCGCGTGTTTCCTCATGTGCTTGTGAAGATCTCAAGAGTTGGTGGATGCGAGGTCCAACCATTTCCTCTTCCCACTGCCTTTCTTTCTTCTTGCGTGAATCGTAGAGGCTGAGAGTTTTCTTTGCTCGTCCTAATTCCGGACTTGACGATCCGCAGCTTTCAGCTGCCTGGTTAAGAAGCAAAGACTACGAGCGAAAATGCGAGACCCATGCTGGACACCACCTTGGACATCCCACACTTGGTGGACACTTTCTTCGAGCGGGACTGGAACAGCGTTCAGTAGATGCTGGGAACTTCCAAAGAGACTTCAAGGCGATCCCAAGGACCGGTCTAGTGAAACGGCGGCCAACGGCCAACCAACTTGGTAGACACAGCTGACGCGGTAGAGATTCAAGCATATTCAAGGACGTTGAATTTCTTGCCTGGATCTCTGACACCATGGCATATCCAATGCCCTGGCGGCCGCAGCACTCGCCACACTCGCCGCCCATCACGCCGCATGTGCCGCATGCATCCCATGCGCTGCATGGCGCGCCGGGTGCACCGCAGGAGCCCAATGGCGGACGCCAAAAGGACGCAGGTTTTCATCACAGGTTTTCACATGGAGAGCCATTGTATTGTAGACATGGGGTGCTGTATGTGCTGTTGGCATCCAGGAGAACGGGAGAATTAAGGATTCTGACACATGACAAGTGGTGCTCAAGTAGAAAATTGCTTCAACTCCAAATCTTTTAAAGGGACCATGGAGCCTCAATCTCTGAAACCGCTTGATTGCTTTTCGTTTCGTACAGTAAACATTGGAGGGTCAGAAAGCAAGACTCGAAAGCAGGAAGGGAGGTCCGGACAGAAACGTTGCTAAAATCCATTAGGTCCCTAATAGCAAGACAAATGTAAGAACAATGGCCTCCAACCTAAAAAAGTCCTTGGACACTCTGCAGTCCGATGAAAGCCACCTCTCATCTCCTCAGGCGCATGGCTTGAATGCCGAACGACCGCCTGTGCCGCCTGTGGCCGCTGGGAACGGCTGGCCATCGCGACCCTTTCCGCCACCTGCGCAGCAGCCTGCAGCACATCCGCCGCGTCAGGCGCAGCATTCGCAGCACCCAGCGCCGCAGTTGGTGCCTCAACCAGCACCACAGTCTGCACCAGCCGCTCTACATGCACAAAGGACTGGCATGACAGATCCGGCGTCGACAGGTCATCGGTGTCAGGCATGACTGATCGGGCACTGAATCGGTCCTCCTGTGAAGCGAGACGTCTCGGCTCGGAGGACCTTCGATTCAGCTCGTGCCCTCAACGGAGCGCGAATGCCTATGGTGCACACGAGTGGACAGCGACTTGGTGGTAGATTACGTGGGATCGAACTGGGGTGCACACTGGGAAGATGGAAGTGGGCACCCGAAAAGAACACAAAGGAAAGTCGTCTCCCTTTCGGGAGCATTTTTGACTTGCATGTTCATGTAGACTCTTGATTAGTACACCCCCCATATGAAGAGGATTTTCGATTCAGGCGTCTAGGCCCAAAGCCTTTCGCCTTTGGGCACACCGGGTTCCCGCGGCTGGGCTGCTCCCTTCGCAGGGAGGGTCCAGCGTCCACAGAGGTCTCAGGACCGACCCGCCTGAGACCTCGGTGGCAACTTGTGCCTTGGCGCGCCATGGTTGTGGGATTGGAGCGCTGGCATGTGGCCGTCGAGCGGATGATCGACGAGCCATGGAGAGGGAGAATCAAGAGCTTCTTCCAGGACCGCCGTGCAACGGCTCACCTGCTTAGGCCTGGTGGGAAGGTGGTCATCTCTGGAATGGTGGCCCTTGCGACCGAAGCTGTTCTCGAAGTCGAACCATTTGAATTCAACCCAGGCCGAGGGTTCGTTGTGCCTTCGCCGAAGGGTTCGAAGATCAGGGTGGCTGTACCGGAGCTGGGACGAAGAGCTGTTTTTCCTTCTGTGGGCGACCACATTACCTGCGTTGGAAGCCAGATTGTTGACAATCAGTGGGAGACTATCTCCTTGGGGGCTGACACGGTCATCGTGTTCCGACCTCAACTCAAGCCTACGGAACCGCTGAATGTTTTGCATCTTTTTGCTGGTGCTTATGGTGGTTGGACTCGTGCTGCTCATTGGTTGGCTGCTGCTGTACCTGCCCTCCCAATTGCCCATGAGCTGCATGTTGATCATGATGACCGCATCATGCAGGTCTGGAGCCGACAACATGGTGTGCCACACAGCACCGGGAGGACACCTTCCACGCTTGCCAACACGAACCTGCAGACTGGTATTTGCACGGGAGTTGATGATACCTCCTTGCTCAATGCATGGCCACATCGATACAATAGTGTTACAAGTGCCTCTCCTCCTTGTATCTCCTGGTCGCAAGGAGGACGCCAGCAAGGACTCAATTGTAGCAGTGGCTATGCAATGATCGAAATGATCACGCTGGCCGAGATTCAGCAACCGCTTCTTCTTTTCTTGGAAGGAGCGGATTCAACTGTTTATCATGAGCACTTCCCCATTTTGGAAGCTTTGTTGAATCTTATAGGCTACCATAAAGTTTGGCAGCAGGTTGTGCACCAGCATCAGCTCTCGCATAACCATAGGTCTAGGTGGCTCGCAGTCTGGGCTCGTATTGATTTGGGCCTCAAACCTCACGAGATGGTTTTTGAGCTTCGTGCACCGCCCTTGGTTCCATGGAATGACGCCCTCAACACCTTTTGGGTGCCAGGATCCTTCAGTGACCAGCTCAGGTTGGACTCCGAAGCTTTGGGGATGTATGGTAACCCTGGGTTGCTACCACCAGCAAAGAGAGTGAAAACCACGGCTTCCACCACTGAGGTACTGCATTCGAGGGTTGCCGATGTCAGCCAACCACTGCCGACCCTCTGCTCCTCGTACACTCGTCAGCACCGGCTTCAGGTCGACCATGTCATGAGCAAAGGCATCTTTGCTGCACTGGAGCTAAAGGAGGGTGTTTAGACCTTCATGTGCCCCACTCGGTTTGTGCCTCTTTTCGGTACTACAGGGACAATCACTCTGCCGAGTGACGCTTCGTTTGCCTTCCATATACTAGGTAATGCTATTTCGCAATCTCAGGCAACTCTTTGCTTGGCGGTTGGATTTGCTGCCCTGTTCGGCCTCGATGTCTCCCCGACCATGCTCGTCAGACAAGCGTGGAATGACAGACTCACCAGTAAGAATGCATTGGTTCAGGTCTTTGAAGACTGGCTAACGATCACACGAGTTCAGGACATTGCTGTATCTATGCCTTGTCGCTCCAATTTGGTGCCTTGTGAGGGACATGGGGTACAGATTGTTCTTGTGCACGTACCCACCCACCATGTGTGGAGCATTCGAGTGCCGAAAGCAGCTACTCTCGTCACGGTGTTCATTCTTGCCATGTTCACCAAAGGGATATGCCCTGATGCATTGCAGTTTCGCACCTTGGAAGGCCAGACCCTTCAGGATATCCCGGTCCTGGACGCACTTGCTCTGACGTCGCAGGTTGAATGCCTCTTGTGGACCTTCCCGCTTCTCTGGATTCGACCTATTGGTCCAGCGGAAGCAAATCTGGAGCGTGCTGACCTTCCTGCTGACATTTCTCCCACTGTGCCCTTTTCTCCTTGTGCCGAGGAGCCATTGACTCTTGTCTTGGAGACTGTACCACCGCAAGTTCCTTCACAGGAACTCTTCCAGGAGATGCTTCATTTCTTGGACTTCAATGCCACGTGGAAAGACAATGAAAGTTCCAACAAGCAATTGGTCTCCCTTCTCTGGGAGAATACTCTTGGAGTTCTCACGCTCAAACTTGATGCCACAGTACCAGCAGCTGACCTTCAAGAGCAGCTAGCCACACACTTTGGCAGCAACCAGTTTGCCATCTACCAGAGCCCATTTGCCGTACCCAGGATTGCCCCAGGACCTCTCTTCACAGTGAGGCCACGCAATCACAGCAATGATGCTCTTGTCGTATTCCAGAAGTTGCAGACTGAAGTCTGGGTGCGAGCCCACATTGTGCCCAAAACACTTCACAAGACCACCCTGGTCACCACAACCCAGGGAGCATTCCGCATTGCTTACCACAACAATCAAGCTTGCTCGACTGAACAACTTCATCTTGCGAATGGAGATTGGCTGTTGATTGAACCAGTGCCAATGACTGTTGTGGCAGGTGGACACCGCAGATGGACTCGCAGCCCCGAGACTCTTCCACGAGGAGCCAACTTCACTGCTCGTGTCTTCTTCAGCATCAACACCCACGGCTGGGCAGCGTCCGATGAAATTCATGCTGCCATGATGTGGTTACATACTCGCTTCCCGGAAACGATTGCAGAGTTCAACCTTTTGTGCTGGCGAACCAATGAGCAAGAGTTCAACGATGAGCTCTATGGAGAACCACGGTTTGCAGAGAGCGGGCGAACTGTCATTGCTGTACTCGTGGACAACCACTGGGCTGCTGTTGAAGTCAACCGGATTGGTCGGCGCACACAGGTTCATGTCTTTGGCCTTGGTGCCCAATTTGCTCAGCGTGCTCTCCTCATGATGCGCCGATGCATTGATCTTGCTCCTCACAGGGTGCAACAGCACATCCACCCTGCTCAAGCTCCTGTGCATCTTTGTGGTTGGTTCCTACTTCAGCGCTACTATGTTTTGTGTGGCGCTCTGCGTCAGCTTCCAGACTACTTTGATCTCTTCAATGCACTGCCTGCGTTCCGCCGAGCGGAAATCCGTGAAGCGTGGGAATCAGGACAGGAAGACTGGCGTCGTGCTGGAGCCAATGAAGACCTGGTCATTTTTGCCACCACTCTTCGTACCAACTTCCTTGTCAACCTGGCGGCGACAGCCACTGACACATCCTCCGCTGTTAACATACCGCTGGTCGCCGAGTTCGCACCACAAACAGTCACTGCCGTTAGCACGACACCTGCTGAGCCCTCACCACCTGAAGACACAAACACGACAGCTGACACCCAGCAGCTGCAGCCGTCAGCACCCATCCAAGTTGCGGGCGTGGCATCTCCACCTGTGCAGCAGCACCACCCGCTCCACCGTATCCAGAGCCGCTTACTTGAATGCCTTGTTCAGCCTGGCTGGCTTTCATCTGACCTTCTTGACCACACGCTGGATGTCCTCCGCTGGCAGTACTCTCATGTGTGCTTTTGCCCACCGGCTGTGTGGGATTCTGATCGTTGGAACCTGCGGTTCCTGGCTGACCTTGAATGCCTGCATGAAACTTTCAGCCAATTGTTTCTTTTCGTTCTGTGGAGGGAACATTGGATTTTGTGCGAGATTCACATGCATGCATGGGAAGTGTCCATTCAAACCATTGGGCCCCTTGATGCTGTGACTGATTCACGCTACATTGTGGAAGCTGTGTGTCAATTGTTCAACATCCATGACCTTGTGCTCAATACCTCCGCTGTGCGCTTTGGCGCTGCACCAGGTCTTTGTGGTTGGGCCTTACTCCACACACTCTTTCGACGCTTCCAATGTCAGATTCCTCCGCTGAGTCAGCCGTGGCGTGCTGCTCTTCGCGTGCACCCCTACCATGAAATCGTTGCTCGAGTTCAAGCCGTAGAGACTGCCATGTGGGAAGCTAATGGAAACACCGACCTCCTGCACTTTGCGTCTTCGGCTGCATTGGACTTTCTAGTGAGGATCATCCAGAATAGATTTCCCACTGAAAGACGTGTTGGAGGGGCAATCTCTGAAGTTGATACTCCTGCCGCTGTGCACCACCAGCCATCCTCGGCTGGCAGCGTCCTCTCCCAGCTGCGGGTTCAGCAAAGGCTCGAACTCTTTGACCGCCATCCTGGGTGGCTATATTCCGACACCGCTGATTATGTCTTGGACTTTCTTCGTGAAGCCGATCCGCGCACGGTGTACCTCCCGCCCATGCAGTGGACTGAGCAAGGTGTTTCGACCTTCAATGATCTGTGTACTCCTCTGCCCATCTCTCAGAAAGCCATTGGGCTTTTGCTTTGGGACCAGCATTGGATTTTGTGCGAATTCCAATCCACTGTCTGTGCCAATTGGCTCTTCCTGACTGGCCCTCCTCAGCTTCGCCCTCTTGCTGTGCAGTGTGCGACTGATTTGTGTTGCCATCTTGGCGTCGACCCTGTGCCTCACGTTGTCTGTCGTGACTTTCAAGCTCATCCCAACTTGTGTGGATGGACTTTGCTTTGGCTGTGCTTTGAAAAAGTTGGCCTCCACGTTCATTACCCTGGCCCGCTCCAAGAGGCCTCCTTCCTTCGCAGCCTTCATCACCTTGACGTTCAAAGGGTCTTGACCAACGCCACGACCGCCTGGCAGCAACCCAATATGCATCAAGCTGCCTTCTTTG